TGGGCCGTGACAGAAATTTAAATACGAGATAAATATTGATAGATACGTCGTCTATCGGTAAACGGGAAAACTATGGTACGATATAACATTACGACAGATTATGCGCGATTTCTGCTGCGTTTTTATCTTCAACAGCTGATAAAGCAGATCGCAATATACATATGTCGTGTTTTGGACAGTCACATCGTGACGGCACGCTGTGCTCGATTTTTGCTGTCAATATTTGATATAATAAATCGTGCGGTATTCCTGCTGCATTACCATTCTCACAATGTAAGAGCAAATTTGCCAGATTTCTAACTACATTTTGCTAATTTAATATGACATCATGTCAAACCTAGCTTTTTGGTTTATTTTTTGTTTATATATTGTGCCAACATATAATGTATAAATTTTGTTCTATTTATGCCGAATATATTTTGCTCAATTTTTCTAGTATTTTTTAAAGCATGTTATGATGCAATGTCTTTAGAATTTTTGCTGTATTTTTGTTAACGTTAGTTGAAATGATAGATCGTGCTCGACTGCTGCCCGATTTTTGCCAACATAATATGTAGCATACATTTACAGTGCGTGCTTCCGACACGTCTGGCTATCTGGGATAGGTTCATAACCTCACTTTGAAGTGAGTTTATGAGATTCACTAAAGCACACGATCTCGATCTCATGCAGATTATGGTTAAAAACTCAGTTGAATCTCACTTGTCAGAATGCAAAAGGAGCGTACATTCAGCTGAGTTATGATGTCACAAGTGAGAATCATCTGAGAATTTATGTAAATGGAAAACAACTTGTATGTTCTATTCTTTTATGAGAATGAGACTACTGCGCAAACTCGGGTGTAATGTTATATAAATATGTATAAACTTGAAATATGTTTTATTATATTTTAAAACATAATCGTTTATTAAGTACTTACGAATAAAAAAGGAAATATTGTCATTCTCTCTCCAATATACATCACATAGTTTCAATATATTACATCGTCTTATTTTCTCATTATTGCAAAACTTTGTCAGTTATAATCTATCGGTTACAATGTTAATGCGTGATATATTTGAAATGGTTGATCATTTCTCATTGCTCATTTCGAGCATGCGTGTCGTTTGGTGTAACGAAGGATACAACGCATTTAGTATCTCTTTCTATCTAACGAGAAAGGCACATCCATGTATATAAGATCTATGTGCGGAAGTTGCCCTCAATTTTGATAGAATTATTTGACATAAATAATGTGATACTATATAAAAGTTAGCTTATGGTTAGTTTTATTAACAAGAATGTTGGTTTATGCTTGTACCTCAATTGTATGTTTAACGTAAAATGATACCATGAAAAAAATAAGGAAGAAAAATAAAATATAAATAAAACAGTTCTAGGAGACCACAAACATATAAAACGATTTAATATTATCAATAATATATCTATTATTTAAACTACGCAATTTACAAAAGAAAATAGAAGCAATAGTACATCAATATATATTAATTTAAATAGAATATATCATTCAAATGATTATGAAATAATTATGAAATTCTATTTCTTTAAATTTTGTTTCTGTTCGATTATATTGTATTAGTAGGTTTTGTTATATTTTTGATATTCTACTAATAAAATTTAACAAATTCTGATATTTTATTAATAATAATTTAACAAATTTCTGGTATTCTACTATAATAAAAAGCAATACTTTTCAAATTAAGTATTTAATGGATTTTACTATTTGAATATATTATTGCTCAATGCAATCTTTTTGGCTCAGTCATTTGTTCTTACAATTAATTTTCTTATAGTGAATTCGATGAATTTGGACGTACTAGTGCATATATTATTAAAATAGATAAAGTACACGATTTTAATATGCACTATTGTATATTAAAATCGTTTTATCTAATAGTAAAATGCAAATATTTCGAATAAAGTACAGATTTTATTTAATAGCACAATAAGATGTGTTGAGATTTTTATCCATTTTTATGTTAAATTAAATATATATATTTGCGTCAATTTGTGTACGACAGCTTTAATGTGCACCAATGCGCACTAAGTGCATCCAATCGAATTCGCTGTTACAGAAAATGTTAATTATACATTTAGTGAATCTATTTGAAATATGCAATTCATAAGATCTATGTTAAACGTGTTAATCAAAGTGTAAAAATTTTCTTTTTTTAAGTATTTTTTTTACTTTACAACCGCTGTCTCAAGACAATATCTTTCCATTAAAAAGATTGTTATTTTTATACTTAATTTTCGTACTTCTATGTTTTTTTTATTCCTTTTTCATTCCCTTTTAATTTATCACTATGTGTATAACTCAAGAGAAAATATTCGAATCTCTCACTTTAAAATTAAACCAGTGTTTTTAAAAGTGCTGTTGCTATTTATTTATGGTTGTATAAGTTAAATACAATTAGTCCTTTTAGTGTCAGATATAAGAAGTTTTGCTATTTTATCATCATGTAGCAAATATATGAATGTTGAAGCGATGCAAACAAAAATGTTACAAATATGAAAATAAATAGAAGAAAAATAAGAATACATTCTGAAATGTATTGATAGTATTGAAAGTCTACAGCACTTCGTGAATTATAGATTTTTAGTACTTAGGGCATCTTGAAACATATCATATAAGAATGTAAAAGTTAAAAGTGTTAAGAATACAGAGGTTCGTCTGTAATGATATTACAATATATCTTACATTATAGTACGTTTGATCACATCGTTAACTAAGCTAAGCGTCATTCCTTCTGCTTGGCCAAAGCGTTCGCCAGCGACACATTCTATTATCTATCAGATGTAAGAAAGAGAAAAGAATAATGAAGATAAGTGTATATGGTTGTTGCTCGCGAAGCAATCGTAATCAGCTACTTCCTTCATAGAAGAGTGCATCCAAGAACTATCACACGTGAGAGGAGATGAAGAATGGTTGGAGGCGATCCATCGTTGGTATCCTTTTCTTTTATGTCGTGTCTTTGCATATTCTTGTGTTAGTGATTCTTTTTCCCTTCAGAAAAAAATTGTCTTATACTTCAGATGTTCCATCTATCCATTGCAATTTGATTTCGTTCATTCATTATAGCTAGGTAATATTCATGATTCAGAAATTTTGGATCTATATACTTATTTGTATTATGTGTTGTTATTCTTGTTTTTACCGAAAAAAAATCAGATAATTGTTTTAATGTGACACAAATGATTATGTCTTTATTTATTTGAAAACATTTTCAATTTTAAGAGAAGATTCGAATCTACTGTAGATTTGGTTTCTATGAACATCATTTATTGCAAAGTTTTATTGTTGCTCATACCAGTGATAGGAGACTTCTCGGAGATTCTTGTATATCATTCTACGAAGTGCCCTTATAGTGAATGAAGAAGAAAGTGAGGAACATGAAATAGGCGACTGGAAAAGTGATCCTGGCTATCACGTCGATCGTCTTCGCTACTCTAATCGGATGTGGCGGATCCTTTTTCCTTAGCTGCAAGAGAAAAAATTTTTTTTATCGCGATTGAACTTCAAACTTTAATGGGTTTTTTACGATAAGCTATTACCTAAATATTAAGTTTTAAATCATAAGAAATTAACCAATCACAGTAGAAGGTGAGAAGAATATAATCGATTATGATTGATTCATTTCTTACAGTTTAAGACTTAAAGTTTAAGTAATGACTTATTGTAGAAAGCCTATAAGACAGGGAGCACAGACTCTTGCATAATGCATAACACGTAATGCATAAAGAAATGTACCAATCGAAGTTCATCGTTTTCTCCCTTTCCATGAAATAAAGAACTCTGATTGGTTAAATTTCTTATGCCTGTGTTATGCGTTAGCATGGATCTACACGGAGAGAATTTTCTTTTAAAATTTACCCTGAAAATATGGTGATTGTGGTACAATACAATATTTTGAAGATTTTTACCATGCACTTCAGTAAAATTGATCAAAGTTATTTTATACTTTATTGTATAGTTATACTTTATACTTTATTGTATACTTTATTGTATAGTTTTTATACTTTATTGTACTTTATTGTATTGTATTTTATACTTTATTGTATAGTTTTATTAATGAAAGAGAGAGATTTATATTAAAATTCTTCGAAATACAATGTTGTCCCACGACTGTCATATTTTCAGGGTAAATTCTAAGAAAAAAAATTTTCTCCGTGTACAATAGATTTTTAAGCCATAAGGAATGGACGAATCACAATTAATTATTCTCCTCGCATTTGATCAATTTCTTACGGCTTAAGGCTTAAAATATCTATCGTAGATCCGGACTTATGCAAGAGTCTCTGCTTCCTGCTTTAGGTTTCGAACATAACGTAATGTAGTATTATAAAAGTTAGTGTAGGATAGAGACTACAGATATTTATATCTAACATTAGATCGCTGATTCCCCTATACATCGTGCATAAAAATTAATTCCAAAACCTATGTATTACATAGCGCGATGTAGGAATAAAACGGTCACATGGTCACATAATGTGTAATGGCCGCGATAGGGCCACATCAGCCACATGTTTGCGTGATGTACGCGTGATATTCATGCTTTTATGTTAAAAGTCATAATGCCGTGAAAAGTTGTCACAGTTTAAGGGAGTATTCTACTTTGACTACTCGTTTTTAAGACGATATTTGGGAATTAAATTTGTAAAAATGATTAAATCTATACAGCTAATGTTATATATTTTACATTTATCTGTATTGGAAATAATACCTCAAATTTTTACAAAGCGTTTTATTGTTAATTATAAAAGTTATAAATAAATGCACAGATCATGCTTGAAAAATTTGCTTTCGTCGGGCGTGGTGATTGCTGCCGTCCTCGTAATCTGAAACAAAAGAATTTTTTTTGTTTTATTCTTCACAAATGTAGTTATCATTCAGCCCTCTAATAAATAATTGGAGAAAAAATTGACAAAATGACGCCGGTTGAAAGAAAGTATTTCGATTTTTACTAAAAAATATTCATTTCCCGCGATCCGGAAAAATAGTAATTTTGAAGATATCAAAAAGTTGGAGGGTTAAACGATAGCCTAATATGTACACTATATTCTTGAGGTTTCCATGGGTGCTTTCTATATAAAAATTATGCGTTTCGCGGATTTTCTCTGTGTCCAGATCCATTCTTGGTATGCCAACGTTTCGTGAACCTTGCAGTCCACTTCATCAGAGCGAAGAGCAGTCTGATACTGAGCAGTGATGCGAATTCCGGGCCGTTTGTAGCATGGTTACTAGCATGAAGAGGGGTGATCCCGATTGACTACGGCTCGATTAGACACCACCAATCACAGCGACCGGTGCTTAGGAGCTTTGTAGTCTCAAGCGCTGTGAGTGGCTCGTGTTCAATTGAGCCGTGTCCAACTGGGTGCCACCCGCATGAAGAGAGCATAGACGGACACACAACGCATGCGCAAGTGTGCGAGTGAGGCCCGATTGCGCACATTAACAATCGGACACGACAGGATTTCCCGATCGGATACGGACCCGATCGGACACGGACCCGATCGGATACAGACCCGATTGTGCACAGACCCGATTGCGTAGGACCCGATTGCGCACGACCCGATTGCATACGGACCTGTTTGCACACTGACCCGATTGCGCACTGACCCGATTGCGCACGGACCCGATTGCGCACGACCCGATTGCATACGGTCCAAATTGCGCACGGACCCGTTTGCGCACGACTCGATTGCACACGGACCCGTTTGTACACCAACCCGATTGCGCACGACCCGATTGCGCATGGACCCGATTGCGCACGACCCGATTGCCCAAGGATCCGTTTGCCCACCGACCCGATTGCGCACGGACCCGTTTGCACACGAACAGTGGGGTGTCAGCGTAGACAGTGTCCGCTTGGAATATTTTTCCAAAAAAATCTAATCCTAACCAAACCATTTGTTGGTGTGAGGTAGCCCTCATTTCGCGTGGAAGGCTTGTGAGCTGTAGGCAATAATGTACGTAGGCAATCGAGCTGTAGGCAATAACACATGTCGAGTCTGTGTGCAAACGGGTCTGTGCGCAATCGGGTCGGTGCGCAATCGGGTCCGTGTGCAAACGGGTCCGTGCGCAATCGGGTCAGTGTGCAAACGAGTCCGTGTGCAATCGGGTCGGTGTGCAAACGGGTCCGTGCGCAATCGGGTCGTGCGTAATCGGGTCCGTATGCAATCGGGTCGTGCGTAATCGGGTTTGTGTCCGATCGGGTTCGTGTCCGATTGGGTCCGTGTCCGATCGGGAAATCCTTTCGTGTCCGATTGTTAATGTGCGCAATCGGGACGCTCCCCAAGTGTGCACGGATATGGATTTATCGTAGTGCATGCGGTCCAGAATTTGCATTACTGATACTGAGCTGTTCCTCCAGGCCGTTCCTTTTATATTACGTTGCTTGTCGGAGTGGTGGGGGGGGGGGGAGAATTGTGGGTGGGAGGGATTGGTGGGATATTAAATAAACACAATATCCGAACTATCTTCAAACCACCCAAGAAGACAGGACAAATCTTAAGAAATTCTAAAGATCAAAGACCTCCACTCAGCTCCGCAGGAGTATACAAAATACCTTATTCCTGCGGGCAAGTATACATTGGAGCAACCGGGAGAATGGTCAATCTACGGATAAAAGAACATCAACGTAATGTCAGGCTAAAACACGCTACGCAGTCGGCATTTTCAGAACACAACATCGAAACAGGACATCAAATACTGTTTGACAAAACGACCACAATAGCCAACATTACATCATACTTTCCAAGAAAGTATAGAAAAGCCTTAGAGATACAAAAACACCCTAACAATCTAAATAGAGCTAAATAAGGGCTACAACATAAATAAAATATGGAAGATCATTCTCCATATTAGTTATTGAAGACCGACCAATTCTACTACCTCTTCATCCCTTTCCTCCCACCAACAATTTTCTTCTTCCTCCCCTTACCTCCACTCCAACAAGCAGCGTAATATAAAAGGAATGGCCTGGAGGAACAGCTCAGTATCAGGCTGCTCCTCGCCCTGATGAAGTGGTCTGCAAAGTTCACGTTGGCATACTAAGAATGGATCTGGACACGGAGAAAACCCGCGAAACGTATAATCTTTATGTACACTATATATGTGCCAAAGCGCAAATCGGCCCAGTTCGTGAGAAAAATACACGTCCGATTTGAAAAAAGTTGTTTCGAGAAAATCTCGTTTAAAATTTCTTGTGCATTTACGAGGTAAATAATAAGTAATTTCAGTAACTTACCCTTAGTCGGCTATACCAGCGCTATATAAAATACCTTCCTCGAATAGCTCGAGGACACACTAATCCTTGTATCGGAAATTTTGAACGAAATTTCACAGATTAGGCTGCTAATCTGCGTTCGGGAACATCACCCGAGTGCCCCCGCGTGTATCGTTTTATCCTTATTACTCACTCAATGTTAAATAAGATGATACACGAGAGCACGCATCCGGGTGATGTTTCCGAACGCAAAAGATCCTTACAAAAGATCCTGAGCTACATACGGTACCATCTGGCTGCATAGAGTAAGGGCCATGGTACATAAAAATCTTAAGGCAGTAAGATGTAAGAAAATCAGCATGGTGGATTGGCTACTGCTTATGTTATGGCCTTACGGATTCTACCGTGATTGATCAATTCGCTTACTGCTTACGTTTTACTGATTAAGTTTTTTTAATGTGCCATAGTCCCTTTATACTACTTGACGCAAACGGTCCGTCTGCCGGATGTAATCTGGCGTCGTATGGGCGCTGCGTCCTCTAAATCTTTGTAGTTCGGTCAATTTGACGAATTTCGTCTCAACGTTTTAAGGACACATTTTTAAGACCCCGAATTACAAGAAAATGAAAAAAAAGAAATTGATTTTTTTTTATCTTAAGATTGTACTTAAGACGGTTTTGAATTAAATACAAAACCTGACTATGGCCGGTATTCATAGTCTGTTCTTATTTCAAGACTGTCTTAAGTAATGTTTTAAGACGTTAATACGGCCCTCTGATTGGTTCATGTATGACTTCTTAAAACTGAATAATGATAATGTAAGGAAATGCCTATGTGAATCAACCCTAGATATTTTCGTGTGTAATACATATATTAAAAATTTAAATACAGATGTTTCGACTTTAGTATTGGGTCCTCAATATAAAAATGTTGATAGACATAGAGATATAAAATAATGTGTTTACTTATATACTCGCGAAGTCAATCATCGTCAAATCATCGTCAAACTGTTGTCAATAATTGAAAACTTTTATGTTGTCTGTTATATTTTGTCGGATATACAAATTGACGATGTTAGATGTATTTCACTAAAATTGAGTCAATAGAATAAAATGGTATGATTAAAATTTAAAATTATATAAGTCAAATTCTTTACAAACTTACATTAAAATCAGATTAACGATGGCCTGTTACAAACGATGTGATTACAAAGAAATTTCATTATCGAGTGTGAGGTCAGAACGCAATAAGAA